TGCTTGCTAGATTTGGGCCAACATTAGCAAAGCAATGGCAGAACCTGCTTGCAATCTCTTCAGTAGTAGTAACACTGTGTTCCTGTATCAATGAAGTTTTAATAGGTTTACATTTCGTATGATGTATAGCACAATTTAGAATTTTCCATGTAGCTTTGATATCACTTTTATTTTTAGCAAGCAGGGCTTCAAAGTATTGTTTTTTTGTAATTCTTAATAGTCGCGTCAACTTATTTTTGCATATTTTGTATGTATTCAGCCTACCATATCATCTAAGTGAGGGCTCAGTTATTGTCTGTACAACTTTTTCTTTTGGTTGAATGGTTTTGATAATCCCCGAGAGATCCAAGGCTTTGTAATTTTTAGTCAACTCTTTTCCTTTTATGATATTAAAAGGAAAATAAGTGTCGAAGATTCCTGTGTTTTTTTCTATAAATGAGTCATAAGCTATATTTGCATCTTCCTTCACGAAACACCAATCGGTATCACGCACGGCAATATTAAATTCTTTTCTTCGCTTTGTACTTGTTTCTCTTTCAGCGGCTTGTCGCGTCTGACTGAAACAATTGAATTCACAAATGTGGGTTTATCACATCAAGTTCAGTCTTTATATCAGCGTTTTCTAGAAAAGCACCATAAAAAACACGTCGTGGGAAAATTTAAGAAACTGCTGCTCACACTTATCATTTTCCTATTTATCACTGTTTGATCCCCTGTCTAGGGGATGGATTCTTTTTTCAATTCCTTTCGATATCAGTCTTTGACTCGTAGGCTACGTATGTTCGCGGAGCGTGTTATTTACTTGAGGCTAACATTACACTTCGAGCATCACACCTGACAACATGGCCTTATGCCAAAAACTATGCTCAAAATGTTTCATTACGCTCAATTTAATGATTAAAAACAAAGAGTCTTTTAAGAGTCCCTCAACCTCCCTTCCCCTATTCCTTCTACCAAAACAGATAAGACTAGCTAAGAATGTAATGTTTACCAAAGTTCAGTACACAACATCTTACTAAATCAAATTCCTGAAGTGCAAACAAGATTAGCAGGCTTAGTGATGACACTACTCAGGTTATGTAATTTATATATTGTTGAACAACAAGGGAATTTATAAGAAGTTTAGTAATTATGAAAAGTGAGACAAGCGCTTTGTCTGATCGAAATCTCTCTACCAAGCAAACCTCTATAACTTTCGGTAATTTATTCCAGGCTACCAGGGATTTAGTTTCAGCGTTATACATTCGTTGGTGCGTTTTCTAAGTGGAGGCTTCAAGCTGAAATTTCATAACAGAGTGGAGCTGCAAAGCTAACCTTCTTGGTATACAAGACTAAGACTCGTTGATTTTAACATGTATAGCAATGGATTTGAGTTGTAAGGCCACCCTAGAAGGCGCTAGTACGCCAGGGCAGAATGCAATATGCAACGGTTTTTAAAGAAGCCCACGACATAGATGGTTCGCGAGCTTGTGAGTCTCCACGCCCCTTTGCCCACGGCGCTGTAAACGGAATAATATTTTTCTTTCTGACTAAGCATGTTATGAACTATCACGTTACGCTTCAATGATAGCTAAGAACAAAATTTCAATTAATTACCCGGAAAGCATATGCTTCAAACAGTAGTTTCTGTTTCGATCATTTGACCATATTTTCGGCCCGCTCAAACAAGTGGCTATCCTGAACTGAACATCACCTCAATCCAGTTTAACCAGGTAAGGCTAGAATTTTCCTAACTGTACCTCAGATTATTACGTACAGGAGAGGTCTGTTTGCCATAGCCTACTACACAGGTCTGCAATCTTAAAGACAAATCAAAAGATTGTCACGAGATTAGTTCTAATTCAAGAAAGAAGCTGGACAAACCCAACGCTTTGAACTGTTGTGGTCATTGTTGAAAATTCCTGTGTAGTGCAGTAGTCGAGATGCACGCATGTGTGAACATGGAGGGAAAACAAGCTATCCGCTCTGCAATTGCTTGCATGTGATTTCGGAGAAAACAAAGACTAACTGAATATCCCAATGGACAACAGATTCGCTTTAAACCGCTCTCCAAACAGCTTCCGGACACAATAGAAGAGACAAATTAAGCAGATGTTCGTTAACAATCAAGATATACCGCATACAGGGCACACCTTAAAATGCATATTTCGAGCAGCTTCCGGAGTAGGTTGAATAAGCAAAGTAGGCAGATGCTCGTTGATAGCCGAGATAGATTGTATAAGAAGAATAAACTGCGACGCATGTCTATAATAATTATACTTTATTTTTATCAGAAATTGATTACATGACGGTGTGTTCCTCTTGAATACCCAGCTCTATGCTCTATACTCTCATTGAGCACGCTCTTTCAACCAATATTTGTTTAAAACCGCCCTCCAAACAGCTTCCGGACAAAATAGAAGAGACAGAGTAAGCAAATATTCGGAAACAGTCAAGATATACTGCCTACAGGGCACACCTTAGAGCGCATATTAGGATGATAATTGTAACTGCCTCCCGAACAGCTTCCGGAGTAGGTTGAATAAGCAAAATAAGCAGACGCTCGTTGATAGCCGAGATATATTGCATAAGAAGAATAACCTGTGATGTATGTTTTTAATAATTATACTTTATTTTTATTGGAAATTGATCAAATAGAGGTGAGTTCCCCTTGTGTGCTCGTGATCTGCTTTCATTTTGAGCTAACCATGTACAAAATTAGATTTTGATCGAATCCCTTGAAACCAAAACTCTTTCGAAACCAAAACTCACGACTGTCAATCAGTGGAAAGGAAATTGTAAAAATGAACCAATCAAACCTGTGAGTGAAACCAACCAAAGTACTTTGGGCGCGTGTTACTAAAGTGATTAAGACATGATTAGGATCAGTTTTAAGATGATCATCTCACAGCTGGAGCTTGGACCGACTGTGATATAATATGATAATTGTCTCCTACGTTAGCTGTGCTTTGAAGCGGTCGATGTCAACTTGATTCAAGTCATCACGGGAAATGTTTTGCGTATATCGCAAAAATTACGTAAAATTTCGAGGAGCGTCGGTGACCGGGGTTAAATCAATCTTCCAAAATCCCTTTATGTCGTCACCCGCAAAAACACAGGAAAACAACGGCAAGGATACAATTTTTTATCACACTTTAAAGAAAATGGGTGTCACGGATCGACGGTTACAATGTGTAAATTTTCTTTAATTTTTCTTTTACGCTTGTCAGATAAGCGCAAGACAAACACATTGAAAGCGCGAGGCTCCTCCATCTCTTCGCGCGAGTCTCGCAGGCTTAGCAAAACAATACTATTGGAACCCTAAGATATTTGAACTTCTCTTAGTCTGTTACAAATTTATCATGTCTTTGGAATGAAAGACACTTCTGAAGCGAACTCATCTTCAACATGTCTCCTCAAAATTTCCAGACCATCGAGAAGATTGCTTTTGAAATGCTATGATAAACGGATTGCTAGGATGCCAGGTCTTCCTAAGCCTTAGCTTTTATAGTCTTATAAGATGTCTCTTTAGGTTGCTTCCGTTTGTACAGTCCACTCAGCGCGAAATTCTGTGCTTTGCAAACTCGCTGTACGTGCATTTTATACTCGCAAACTCCAAGATAATGGCGCTTTACAAGAATATAAGACCGCCTCGAATCTGTTGCCAGTTTGCACCACACACGCTTGTTGAGCTACTTTTCAGTCGAGCTGCTTAATTTGTTCCAGAAATTTCTGAAATGGCAACCAAAATCATTTGGAATTTTTTAGACGTGGTATGAGGCAGAGTGATTACGTATTACTTTCGTATTTAGAAACGCACCTCTTAATCCAGAAGAGAACTTAGTAGCATCATCGAAAAAGCGTACGTACACACGCACAAAACAAATCCACGTCCCCTTCGAAATCTAATCATTTTATCTTGCAGCTACAACAAATTTATCATTTTTACGTGGAAAAAGAGAACTTTAAAATGTACATTTGATCTTTTTCTGTAAGCCATTCATGACGTGGCCTTCAAAGTTTTCTTACCGGCAACAGTTGTCTGGTTTCCGCGAAGATCGTTACGTTATGGGAAAGACCGTTTTTTTTTTTATCTTTTTTTGATCTTCATCTTGCCATGAGGTCATACTTAGAGCCACATGAACAATATTTTCTCTGTATACCACAGGCGGCCCAAGCTCCAGCTGTGAGATGATCATCTTGCGCAATAATAGTCATGGCGGAATTATAAGAGTTTGTGTGGGAATATTTACGGCTGCCCTAAGGAATAAAATAATACGTCAAATTCTCAAAAAAAATACCTCACCTTACTTCTACATCGTAACGCTTGTTATCTGACCGCTTACTTTGATGAAAAGGACGCATTTTAGCGAGTTGTCCATTTCGACGTTTTCAACGTTCATAAGAAAAGCCCAAGGCTGAACACTCCATTTCCGAACGCCTGATCCGAGAAGTGAAAAATCCAAGCTCAGAATGACCGGGCGACCACAAAGCCAACGCAGAATCCAAGCACATATACTGTAGTTTCATTTCAGTTCACTAAAAACTCAATCTTCCTCGCGCAACCGACACTAAGCCGCAGTTTGCTTCAAAAATTTCCAGTTTAGAGGTTTCTAACAGTCCGCGGCTACATCAACCTTGACACACGACCATTGAAAACCAGCTTGGTAACCCTACCTCCTTTTCAAACTGAGCCTCGCCGGGGACCATACCGTCAGTTATTGTCAATAAAATTGTTTTAGAACCACGGATCCCCTCAGCAGAAATCGATCAAGAGGCTATTATTTCGATCGGCCAATCGAATTCGTCGAATTTGTATCGTTTTGTGTTCTTTTTTCGACGAGTGTGGGCCCGCTATAATGAAAAGGGTTGATGAACAACTTGGGGGCCGCGAAAAAAAATTATCAAAGGGACGGAAATCTGAATCAAAGAGAGGGTATGGAAATAAGCTCGATGTCTGGAGGGGAAAAATAAACTCCAAAACTTGCTGATGTTTAGAGCATGAACCCAAGCTCTTCACGATGACCACATTTGAGAGAGAGAGATATGCGGAAATCGAGACTTCCCTGTTCAAAGGACATGCGCATTATTTTGGATTGTTTGCTTATCCTGTTGTTGATGAAACGCTGCTAAACATTGCTAATAGACATTTGATGAGATGGACAACTAGTCGCCGCGTTTTAATTGATAGTGATGAGGAGGATTCAGGAGGATGTGAATTAAGTAATCGTTGTCCTTTTGTAAGAAGTTAGTGTCTGTTGATTACTGATTATTCATTTCTCTTCGTTTCTTGCAATTCCAAAGTATAATTAACATGACACTGCGGATAACCAAAAGAATAATTCCAGCTCGCGAGATTTGTAAAGTTACCCTCGTTGTTATGTTTGGAACGTTGTAATATTTTGTTCATGTGAATTTCAGGTAAAAGAAACAATTTCAGTGTAGCGTGGTATATTTTAAATTATATATATTCTCAGTTTCCTTGAGGAAGTTTGATGCTATAACGACGCCGAAACTTTAAATAATTTTACACGAACTCGTTTAACGTCGTTGGTACAATAACCAAAGTGTAAAATTAACATCTCGCTGGACCATCCAGTCCTTATGTGAAAGTTTCTCAATATTTTCCTTCAGAATGAAAAAATAGTGAGGGTAAATATTCCGCTTCACTGGTCTGCACATGCGTTATCCCCGTAGTAGTTTTGACCATGACTTCCTGTTTCCTCTTTGCAATATTTAGGTACGATAGTAATATATCTGCGTATAATCCTAAGTTTTTAGTTTAAAGGGAGACGTGTGAGGTCATGATCAACAGACGCCGCGTCGTATTCCTTGGTGTGACCCGTTGAGCTAAATGGTAACAGAGGCGACGGTGGCGGGTGCTGGCACGAGTTTCACAGAAATCTGTTTGCTTCTGTAGGAAAACATATTCGTAAAGCATGATGGCAAATTCTAGCTTTTCAGTTGTTATTCTATAAACGAGTAAAAATTCTACTTAACCAATTTTTTACAATTTACGAACTCTAAATGAAAAAGACCGAAGAAAACGATCTAACTAATGCATGGCATTCCTCAAGGGCCAGCAGTAAGGGCTTTTACGTCACGAGGCTAAAGATGTCCAAATAGCTTTTTTTACGTGCACTACGAAGAAACTCTTTTTGGTGCAATGTAACATCGCTCTTGCAAGGTTATTATTGTGCGAAGACTTTCAAGAGGTTCCTCAGTTGAAGTCGCGCCGTGACCGAGGCTGGCGAGAATTTCCTTGCGACGCAGCAGATGGAGTTGTAAGCCCTGATATTCCATCATTTAGAGAAGACAGTAACAAGTGGGACAGCAACGAAGAATTAGACGGACCAGGTAAAATTTCTGGTCAAGAAAGGCGTAGAGGCAAGAATTATGATCACCTTGAAAACGCGCCCCAAAAGGATAAGAACAAAGGAATCAGCATCTCACAGAAGATACAGCAAACACCAAATGAAGTCAGTGGTGGACGGAATGACACTCTTAAAGCCTCTTTTCAGGGAGGATACGTGGTTGCAGACAGCCGTGAAAACCCCGATGTTCTTACTACAAACGGGGCTTGCGGCTTTGACAAAGATTGGAATACCCAAGCTGTTGCCCTTCCAAAAACACCAGGAGATTCCCAAGGGATTAATTCGAAAACAAAAACATATCTTGGTTTGAAAGGTGGACGCCGAAGCGATCTTCCGTCAGGGCACAGCTCACAAAGGGATCCAAGTGGGGATGACTTTGGCACAAATCACATCGGAATAGATCCCAGTTTCCTCACATGTCATTCTTATGAGTGCAATGCATCTGATGAGCGCTGGGATTCTTGTGATCCATTTGAAGATTCAGAAGTGCTTGCAGGTTCCTACTCCGAGTATAACAGATCTAGGTGTATGACTGAAGTGTACCACCCTACTTCTCTAAGTTCAACGAAATTTCCTAAATGTCGTGATTTTACAAAAACTGTTCCAGCGAAGACCTTAGGACTACCTCAATTTTCAAATTTCCTTGAAGATGGATGTAAAGCAAATCTCCCGTTGACAAATATCTTCCCAGATGGACATGTACTCGCCGAAAGGCCGACGTTCTCATCGCAGTTTGAAAGAAAAGATGACGCTCCGGGATTTCTTCCGGACGGGGAAAGTGCAGGAGCTGGTCATGGTCTGTTAAACAGTAATTCAAACACATCTTCTGACGAATCATTGGCCGTACTCGAGCAACGTGTGGCTGAAGCTTGCTCTCTTGTCGAGAAAACGTTGAAAGAAAGACAAGAAAGAGAGAAATCGATGAAAGAAACGGAGCAAAAAAGAAAAGATAAGTGGGCAAGGAAACAACAACTCGCACGTGAAAGAAAAGAAAGGGAAGCGAGGGAAGCAAGAGAAGCGGAACTCAGAAATGAAAGAGTAGAGGGGAACTCCACGAGCGGTGGACAAGAAACACCTTTGCAAGACTCGGCAAGTGCTGGGGTTCGACAATGGCTGTGTGAACATTATCAGCGGCTCTGCCGTGTCAAGTTCTCGTGCTGCGGAAAGTTCTTTCCTTGTCATCGTTGTCATAACAACTCTGGGTGTCCAAATGATAATTCCAAAGCAAGAGAGGCGTGCTCTGTTGAGTGCTCTGTTTGTAGCCATCAACAAGAGGTAAATAGGAATGACATTGACTTGAAATTTTACATGAGAGGAAAGAGAGTTCTCCCACTTAGGTTATAACCGATTTAACTTCGAATGTTTGATTTTTAAGATCAACCAGGACGCCCACACCTGTGTCAGATGCAAAACAAGGTTCTCAGCATATTTCTGCTGGGTATGTAAACACTTCACAGGGGAGGATAAAGCTCCTTATCACTGCGAAAAATGTGGTATCTGCCGGTAGGTGAAACAATATTCATGACGAGTTTTGTCCTCGTTTGTTTGAATGATATGCTTGTTGTCCAAAAGAATAAAGGTCAGGGAGTTATTGGCCTGCTTCAGAGCTACTGACTTGGGTTGAAGTAGGTATGAAGAATCCTGGCACAATCTGTAAGGCGAGAGCAAAGTATTCAAGGAGAGAGAAATGCTTTATCGAGGAGTGCATAAAACACCCCATTGCTAGTTGTTTCTCAAAAAGGAACAAGAGTCCGACAAAATACAGGTTTCCTCTTCAATTATTATTGGAGCTTATCGAGTAGAAATACGGCGCTTATCAGTGTGAGTTCAAAATTTGTTTCCCCAACGAATCATGTTGTGCTCGAGTAAATACCTGCAAAGTGGTGTTTCTTTTTCCCGTTTAGTATCTACAAGGACCGCTCCTTCCACTGTGATGTGTGTAACGTCTGTCTGGACAAACGGCTGGAAGGAAAACATTCCTGCCGAGCAAATTCAGGACACGATGAGTGTTGCATCTGTTTGGAGGTAGTTACTTAATTTACATAATAAGGTTGAATAAGAAATATCTTTTAAAAAGTTTTGCCGTTTAGCCAAAGCAATTAACCTTGCACTACATTTGGTTTTATTCACCTGTCACGTTAGTGACGTCAGGTGCTTGCATTTCTGGAGTCGAAATCTGACAAAAGAGAAGCAGATCACAATCCAAATGTCTATATTTTTATTTGGTTGATCGATTCTTTATTTCCAGGACGCTTTTAGCGGTTGTCAGATCCTGCCATGCTCACACAAGGTTCACCGCGAATGTGCTATTGCTATGATACAGAACGGCGTGTAAGTACGCTTAAATATCGCTATTTATTGTTTCTTTAGAGGGCACGGTAACGAATCTTGCAATCTGATTGGTTCTTTACCCGGTCAGTATTTTCCTATCTCTGCCCACGGGCCACGGTAAAGCTTTCGTGAGTCGCCGAGTACATCCCAACTTTCGTTGTCATTTTTCATAAATATATCTCGTTTTCCGGCTGGGCAGTATTTTTAAGCAAACACGTCGGTCACTACCTCAAGCCGATAAATAACTTATGAATCCTCCCTTTTCTCTCTATCAAATCACTTTGGTTGACAGAAAAATATTGGTTTCAGAATGAATTTGTATAAACAATAGTGTCATTACGTTGGTTGACAAGCGGCCTAAAAACCGTCTGCAATTAATTTTAATCGTTCACAAAAAGTACCCAGAAAGTTGAAACGTGAGGTATTTGGTTACAGTTAAACTGAACGATGGAACTTTCATTCATTTAATATCTGAATTTTCTCGAGCAATTTGTTCATAGTGAAAGAGCGAGCGAAGTTTTAATTTAAGTTCTACAACAAATATACGCTCCTGGTGAGTCTTTCCAATTCCGTTCAATTTAGACATTTGTACCTTAAATTGCACAACAGAAATTGAAGGAATTTTTTTGAGAAAAGGCCGCATTACATTCCCTTGTGTCTCGTTGGAGTGTGCCGTTCGAATTTAGTTTTTGTGAAGGAAAGATCAGAGTTAAACACGCCATTACAGCAAACAAACGAGCAAACTCTCACAACTTCAAAATAAAAAAATTGAATTTACTCACAATTACTTTCCTCGCCGTTTACTTAATGACCAGAGGTAAATCTTCGTACATGAATGAATGGTCGATGAGAGTGAATAATACTTTCCGTTAGATCACTAACTTATTTTGAAGAAAACATTGTCGTGACAGTCCTTGCCAAACTAGTTCTATTGGTTTTCAAATGTTCCTACGCTTTTTTTTTTCTTGCGCGCTCTCTAATTGACAGGTGTCAGATTGTGACAGATACTTCTAAAAATAATGTTTCAAAGTTTGTTTGGAAGCCTTTTAAATCACCTTTATCGTTACGGAAATGAAAATGTTTGGCTGAGGCATCTCTCTTAAATTTGCATCACCTCCATTTTAACTACCATTTACTCACTCAAAAATTGTTCAGTTTATGGAAGATCTTGCCGTATTTACGGCCATAAATCATTCGGGTTCTTTCGGAAAGAATTTCGTCAAGTTTAAAAACAATAAATATGTTATTTACCGGCTAAGGGTCGGTCCGTATGGTGAAAAACTGTGACCGAGGTCTTGAAAATGCTGCCCTCGGCCTACGGCCTCGGGCAGTATTTTCAAGACCTCGGTCACAGTTTTTCACCATACGGACCTCCTAGCCGGCAAATAACATATATATCTGTATCTAAATCGATATTACTTCATCGATAAACTTTGAAAGACCTTTACGTTAAGTAAGCCAGAATTAATTGCGATATTCCCACACCACTTTTTCTCGAGTTCACCTGAATATTTCCTTTTAATTTGCAGTCGCAGCTGTCCTATTTGCCGCCATCCTTTGTACAGTCAGACAGGAATGAATGAGTGAATTACAACCTCGACTCCAGTGTTCAAAATTCTAAGGCAAAATTGTTCCCCATTAAGATGTTTTAGATAGTGTTCTGATTGACGTATTCATTCTTTATTGTAGCCGTGAATTTAATCTTTTATCCCTAACAATGAATGGCTCCTTATTTCTCCTGGCGGTATCACCCTTGAATCAAATGATAAAACGAGAATAAAGGCAATAATCACCAATTTAGGAAGCTGTTGATTGGCAAACAAACTATCATTGTCAGTACCAGAGAAAATGTAAAGAGAACAGTGTAGATTTTTAGGGTTGAAGATTGTAATAGTTATTTTAATCTTTCCTGTACAGGGACGCAAACCTGAGGGAAGACGGTAAATGAGGGTGGCAGGATCCCCTTAGGTCAAAGTGATTTCTATGCAGTGGCTTTTATATCCAAATTTACCGCTTTCGTCTCTTAAAAGATTTGTGTAAAAGTGTGCAAGGCATCGATTAGTCTGGCGAGGAGGTGTCTAAGTGTATCATAATAGTGAAGCCGTTGTAAAATAAAATTATATTTCTTATCATTGTAAGGAAACGACATAGTAAATTGTCCAAAGCCTGAGCAACAAATTGGATTTGGCAGCGGGTTGTCTTTTTTTCCGTAATCTAAACTGAAATATGCTTCTGGGGATTTTATAACCTTTTACACTTAAAGCCAAACAAAACATTTCACATGGTGTTGTTATTAAATTCCTGGTAGTGTTTTATGGTTATTAGAATGCTGTGTGAAATAAAACCCTTTTACGACCTTTTTTTTATATTAAGTTACATCAGAAGAGGAAGGAATTGTAAGAGTTTCAAATTTCAGCTTTTTTGCCTTCGAGAGACGTGCGATAGAAAGGAAGGGAAGGAGGTAACCTTGGGTTTGAAACTTCAGGTAGCTTTGCAAATCGTAGTTACGCGATCATTATATCATTCCAGCAAATAAAGCAGACATGTTTACATGTAAGTTGTATTAAACATTTCTTTTTCCCTGCCTCAGCAAGTTTGCCTAGTAAATTATTTTTGTTACCACACAACAGCGCCTCTTCATTCTCTTTCTCTTCTCCGTTTTTTAAACCTTAATTAACCTAATAGGCAAGCAACTACTCAATTAATTTGGAAAATTTATCAATTTTCTCAATTTTGTTCAAATTTACTCAAAAATTCAACAAATTCGTCTGGTACATTTCTTCACTGATCTAGCTCTATCTACTACCATAGGCTCACGTCAAACCGCCTTGGATATCGCTGGCTCAAGGAAAGATATACTGTGCCTATTTTTTTTAAGCAATTCAGCTCGTGAAATAGTGCCAGACTCCCAAGAACTTCCTGCTCATTTTTAAGACTAATTGCTAGTTCAGAATTCCATATCATAGCGCTAAAGACTCAGACTTGCATAATCTGGCTACAGAGACTAAACTCGGACCTAGACACTGTTTTTCCATGGCGCACGAGGAGAGTGTGGGTTGTGGCGGGGAGAGAATAAGTCAAATATGTTATGGTCATATTTGGGTAATTTATCATCATCCCACAACTCTCCGCGCCCTCCTCTTACCTTGTAGCCATAGTATTTACCTCAGAATACGAAACCCATGGACCTCAAATTGTTACGCCACTTCCTCCATATTTCTGAAAATTAAACAGAAACCGAAGAAATTATGGATCGCATTCAGCAACCATGTCTTCGGCGACGGCTTGTTTCATGTCTTAAACGATTATACACGCATACACAACACACTACTTTGGTTAAGATAGTGATGTTAGTCAACTAAGCTTTCTCAAAATCGATTCATGAATCATAAAAGGAAATAACATTGTTCTAGTTACCATAATCCTGGCGATGTGAGCTACTATACATTACGTCACTTCCTTTAAATTTCTTGAAGTGCTGTGGCTTCGAAGAAAATGATAAATTATGTCTTGATGATTATGAAGAAGCTCCCATGCACTGAATCTAAGCGTGAAAATCGTGAAGGCTAAGGTATCTATCACAAAATTATTTCCTATATGTTTCAGGAATTCATTTGGAAAATCTTACTTAACTAACATCACTTTATTAGTCAAGATAATCTGTTACCTATGCATATACAGAGGATTGGTAGTTTAAATTTCAGAACTTGCACGACGCTTTGGCCAAAAAGTTTCAATGAGCTTGTCATCCAATTTTCTTTTAAAATTGTTTGTAAAAATGGAGACAGTTGTTTAAAAGGATCAGAGCTTTTCTAGATCAAAGAGTCGTGAAAAATGTTCTAACGATTAGTTTCAGACGGATCTGTCAACCAAATTTGTATGGATGATGCATCATTTGTGCCACTCATTTAAGATTCACGTATATCTGGGCTGCTTCACTCGATGGGAATAGTAGATGTCGCCATAATCCCTCTGTTCTCTTCTTTGCGTGCATATTTTGCGAAAAATGGAAGCTAACTCGAGAAGGATCCAGAGAGAAGTGCATTTCCTCTAGAAAGTATGTGGTTCGTTAATTTCTTTGCGTCAAACATTTCCGGCCCACGAGCGCGCACCTTCAAAAAGGCTAGTTCTATAGCAGTTCTGCTCTACATAAGTGGAAAAAAAACAAACTTAAACTACAGAGAATTTTGGGGGTTATCTTGATTAAAGAAGCAGCCAATTTTTTTTTCGCCTTGTCACAATTATATAAACAAAAAGCCTTTTGTCATAACTGTTTCATTTTCTCTGTTACTCGTCACTCTTGGACGTATTATTAACAGACTTAGACCGAACATGAGCCCAAACATGACTTATTTAATTTAAACTTAAGTTTTCCGATTTAGGACATAAATTTCTATTTCAAACTTGTATGTTATATTTCACTTCTTGCCAGCTGAGGTAACAAAAATTATACCTCCCTATAATCCTTATGCTGCATGAGTATTGTTACGACTATCAAATGTCGAGGGGAAGGGGAGGGGGGGGGGGGGTGGGTGTGCTGTCTATTGAGCACACCACTCTTGATGAAAGGCACCAAGACTCTTTAATTGTCTTTTTCGCTTTTTTCTTTAATTATTCGGTTCCTCAGTACACAATTCTACTTACATCCAAGCTTATTTCATTCTGTGCAACTCTGGTTAATCCCTTAGGCTCTCACACTTTGAGTTTCACTGTATACTTCTACTTTAACTACAGAAATCTGATTCTACTCATCTGCACACTGTCTACATTCTTCTGGTCTGCTCTTCTCTCACTTCTCTCCACTCTCTTCTCCTTAGTGATATGTACATTCTCCGTTTATAAAGACTTAAGCGCTAGGTAAACTTGAGGAGTCACTCTTCTTTTGTCAGTGAATTTACCAATAGGCTGTTGGCGGGTTCCCATCGCTGTGGCGCTTGATTTTTAGATTTTTCTGACGATAACTCCTTATAGGTGTGACTTGAAATCGGATTTCGTCTCGGCGCCCTGGCTACATGATATCCTCGGCAATTTCCGACGCGGATGCCGGCTTCCTTCCCTCTGCATAACATGTCATCAGTTTTTAACAAGACTCATCATTAAGTTACGAATTGACCGCCGGAAGTAAAACCTCCTAAACGTTATTGATCTCAACTTCCTATGAGAGAATCATTGCTTTTTGTTGAGTAGGTTAAGCCTGGTTTTCTCTAGCGACACAAGCACAAACGCAAGCATCACAACACTTACTTCACCGTGAAAAAGGCTTGACGCAAGCATAAACACAGACGCAAGGATCAAAATGTTTCCTTTTGCATCTGTGCTTATCAACTATCGTCTTCACTCGGTGTAATTATCTTACGCTTGTGCTTGCGCTCTACTGAAAAGCAGGCTTAAGAGATCTTTTAAGCTCCAAACGCCTGACTATTTTTGACCATAAATTAAGCCAGATCTTTGATTCGAGCAACCAAATAAAAATTAGCAAATCAAGTTTGGGAGCACATGCATTAGAATCCTCTACAGCGAGTCCGTTATGACTGAATTGTAAGAGCTTCCTTGCAACTGGATTTTTCTTGCCACTTGTGACAAAAATGATTGAATCGTTTGGGCTCTGAAGTCGTTGCATCCAAGAGCCTTCTCGGTTTTGAAAACTGCATCAGTTTTAGTACGACAGGCTCCTTTGATTGCTTCGACGGTCCCTTCATTTTGACGTGTTGAGAGGAGGTCGATCTTTGGTCTTTAAATAGCCTGATCCAGTAACGTGAGCTGGTAGATAACAGAAATTGAATTAGGGGATTCCCCTTTTCAAGTGCAGTTTTATTTTAATTTGTTATTAAGACTTTGAAAATATTCGGGGTTGCGTAACATATCGTCAAGCGTAGGTTATCAATAAATAAAAATCAGTGGTATTTCGAACGGAAAAACAAAACGAAAAAATAGAAAATAATGTATACAGGATCCAAAAACCAATCCGAAACACCCAACAGGGGAAGGAAAGCGCTAATAGTTTTTGCACCTTAATTATTCATGACCAGATTAAAATTTGAATCTTGAATGTTATTGTTTCTAAGAACTTATGAGCGTGTTATTTCGCGTGTTACTCGCTAATTTCTAAGTCCTACGTCACTAGACCGATGTTTTGGAAATCTTTTCATATTTGCGCTAGTTATCTCTAAGTGTAAGATATTTGGTTACCTGGTGAACACAGTAAACGATTAAGAATATATGAAAGTCATATATTTAAACTGCAGATAAAGACGTGAATGAAAGTGATCCTCGCAGTAATGTGCACTACTTAGGCAGTAGTGAAAATAAGGCCTGAAAAAAAAAATTCAGGCCTGTACGGGATTTGAACCCATGACCTCTGCGATACCGGTGCAGCGCTCTACCAACTGAGGCCTTGAGCCCAACCGACTCAGGCCTTATTTTCACTACTGCCTAAGTAGTGCACATTGCTACGAGGATCACTTTCATTCACATAGTGAACACAGTGTTTGCTATCATTAGAATTAGGAAAGCCTTTCATACTGTTGTACTGATCATTGTGCCATGGTGAGTGAAGAATAAATGGTAAGACTATTTTTGAACTTTTCGTTTAAGCTCTGAAATTATTATTTTTTCTTTCGTAATATTGTACTACCAATTATCTGGCGAATAGCCTTTACGAAACAAAAGTAAGGATACTGAGATGTGAAAAGAGAATGAAATCGCTGA